TGAATTTTGAAAATCCAACCGTTAGATTGAAAGTTCATATCTCTTAGATCATATATATCAAATTTTATATTAATCTAAGATGATTTGATACTTCATTCTCATAAAACAAAATTGACGTAATATATACATTTCAAAATATACTAAAATATGAACACTCTGATTACCTTCAAGTTGTTGTTCAATTTTAACAAAATTTGACATATATGATCTAATAGATATGAACTTTCCATTTAACGGTTGGATTTACAAAATTCACATTTAATATAAAGTTATTGAGCGATGTAACACTTAGTAAAAGTTACACCGGTGTCGTTTGAACCCTCCTATATATATATATATATATTTCTTTAAAGCAAGTGGAATTTTAAGACACACCATAACCGGGTCCAAGACTAAAGATTATAAACGTGTAGAATTTGGCTTCATCACGAACTATATATTGAAGCATTCGATACCTTGTGCAATTTGTTTGGTGAAACATTTGATCACAAAAATAGAAAAGTTACTGATAAGTTCGATCATGTTTCATTTTTTTTCACAAAAAAAAAAAAATCATGTTTCACTTTTATTTTTTTTTCATTATTTTTTTTCTGATGTACTTCCATTTGTAATTTTTATTTTTTTTCTTTCGGCTACACCTTATATTTTCTATTATTTTACTTTTCTGATCTTCTTTTTTAGTTTTTGACAGAAGTTAAAGTTGAAGACAAATATAAAGATCTTTTTTATAAATTCATATTATTTACTATTTAAAAATGTTTTTCATTTTCAGAAATATTGTCATACCAATTATTATATTTTAGGTTTAATCCCATTTTGTACTCTCGTATTTTCATATCGTTGTGAATTCCTCCCCCAATTTTTTGTTCTCTCGAGATTTTGCCTCCAAATTTTGAGAATGTTGTTAATTATATCACTTTGATAATTGTATGTTAAAATACAAAAAGAAAATTTTACTTAATTATCTTTTGTGCCCCTAACCTTTTATTTTATCTCAAATTTTGTCCTCAAATAATTTTTTGATAACTTTTTCTTTCAAATTATGATAATATTGTGAATTTTAACTCCCCATTAGATTATACTTGATATGATTGTAAACAAATATTTTGAATTTGTTTTAATATTATCATATAAGATAATTTACTTCACTCAACAATTAATATTTTACATCAAAATTTAACAATTTAACCATTAAATTAAAAAAAAATTATGCATAGATTTACTCTACAATTTTTTTTAAAATTTGAAAAATTATTTGATACTTTGTTTCATTAATTAAAATTGACATAGAAATTTCATCCAGTAAAATGGACGAATTATAAATCTCTAAAATAATAGATAGAAATATCGCAACAGATAATTATAGAAAGATTTTGTATATTGATTTGAATCTATATAATATGCTATGGAATACTTGGGTTGTCTCTAACAAACAACTCCATAACATTCTTTCATGTCCCGCATAAAAAATAATTGTTAACGTAAATTTATAGTTGCTTCAGATCATATTAATCAATTTTTATATATTAAATACAAATATTTATTTTAGAGCATTTTTAAAAAGTTTTTTTTTTCAAAGAGAGGATTTTTAGAAATTATTTTAATTTTTTATCTAATTCAATTTTATTTATGAATTAAATTTTAATATTTTTAACATAAATTATCAATCAATCAAACTTTATATATTAAATGTGAACTTGTATTTTGCATGATAGTATTTTTGGGGAATTTTCATTAATGAGAATGTTTTTAGAAATTTTTTTTAACCTTTTATTTAATTCAATCTTTATTTATCATAGTTTATTTATGAATTAAATTTTAATATCTTTAAAATAAATTATCGATAAATAAAACTAATACTATACTAAAATATAAACTATTTATTAAAAATTTAAAATATAATTTATATATTTAAAAACATTTATTTGAATTTTTTTAATATAATTTATATTTTAAAACATAATATTTATTTATATATAATTTATTATAAATTTTAATTACATACAATAAATATTTAACAATTAAATTTGTACATACTAAAATACAAGTTATACTAAACGTAGAAACTTTAAGATACTATAACCACTTGACAAACTGAACCCTTTATGGGAATCTTTACAAATTAAAATGTGTCAATTTATCTTTTATTACGAGATTCCCGTTAATAAAATAAGGGAAGAAAGAAGAGAAAAAGGACATGAACGCGGAAGATGGTTATGACGAGTACACGTGTGGTGAGAGCCTAGGATGAGGGTGGACTGATAAGGGCAATGCTCTTTGGAGGGTGAGCCCATATGCTTCATCCATGTTGAGTTTTTCTGGATTAAGCCCATTTTCCAACTCCCAATCAAATGCATGGGCCAGGGTAGCAGTGAGGAGTTGGACCACTCTAATACCCAAGTTCATACCAGCACACATTCTACGTCCAGCACCGAAAGGTATAACCTCAAAGTCATTCCCTTTAACATCAACACCAACCTTTTCACTACCAGAGAGGAACCTTTCGGGCTTGAACTCCAGTGGATTGGGCCATTCCTTTGGGTCACGAGCTATGGCCCAAACATGTACCAAAAGAGTTGCACCTTTTGGAATGTGGTAATCAAAGACCTCACAACTCTCTGCTGCAACACGTGGGAGGGAGAGAGGGGTTGATGGGTGAAGACGAAACGTTTCCTTTACCACAGCCTCCAGATAAGGAAGGTGAGGCAAGTCCAGTTCAGTCACAAGCCTATCTCGTCCCACAACAGTATCCAACTCTTGTTGGACCTGGGCCAAAATTCTTGGGCTCCTGATCAATTCAGCCATGGCCCACTCCGTTGTGCTCGATGATGTGTCCGTCCCAGCAGCAAACATGTTCTGCACAAGTTATTAATTCATTGCTCAATAGTTAATGAATAAATTATGGTCCATAGGAAAGTAATGTTTTAAATGATGTTAACTAATTTTCTTAATTAGTGATAATTATTATTTCTTACATATAGTTTAGTTCTAAGAGCATCTGCAGTAGCGGTTGCTTATAAGCAATTCCTGTACCACATCATGTCGCATCAGCTCTTTTGAACTTTATGAGTTGCTTAAATTTTAGCAAAGTTGTTTGTAGAAGTTACAGTGCTAAAATTTAAATAATCCATAAAGTGAAAAAGAACTAATATGACACAGGAAATTGCTTATAAGCAACCCTCACTGGAAATGCTGTAATGGAGTACATGATAATTGATGGAGAAATAGCACATGATGAATATTTATTTACCAGAAGTAACGCTTTGATCTCTGTATATGTGAGTTTTTCTCCATCCTCGGAAGACTCTTTAAGTGACAATAAGGCACTCAACATGTCTTGATGTTTCTCACTCTTGTACATCTTGTGTTCCTCAACAATGTTGGTTAAAAATGCATCAAACCTCTTATGCAATTTCTTCATCTTGGTTTGCACTCCTTGAAGATCCAACCACTCCAAGGCAGGAACAAAATCGCCAATATTGAAAACACCAGACAATTCCATAAGCTCTAACACCATGGACTTAAATTCATTTGCTTTAGGATCACAACCATCTTTGCCTTCATTGAACACTCGTCTACCTATCATTACCCTCGCCAATGCATTAGTGGTGCATAGATTTAAAAATTGTCCAAGGTTCACTGCTTTTGAGTTTGAACTTGCTAAGTTGCGTGTCAATCTTGCTGCCTCTTCCTGCATATTAATTATGATATAAATGTGAAAAAATAAGCCCCTTAAATTTATTATGATTAATTATTACTTATCAGTACATAATTTTTTTTAAACATATTAGTACATAGTGAAAGAGTAACATGTACAGTATTAGTTTAAGAACATCAATGTATTTTATGAAATATTTTATGGACGATGTACTGATGGGATAAAAAAGATTTATATTATTATCTAATCATAAATTATATATATTTAATAAATTTATTAACTTGTATAATAATTATATTTTTTAAAAAATACTACTAAAGATAATTTTTATTTGATTGATAACATAAAGTTTTACATTCTTTAATTCAGGTATTGATAAACTAAAATTGAACCCGCTCAGTCTATCAAAACGATACTAATTGACAAGTGCTAGCAACAACCAACAGATCATTAATGTTGTTTTCATAATGAAATTTGACTTATATCATTCTATTAAATATGCGATATAAAGGATGCACATCATGTGGATGACAATTCGTTTAGTTTATTTAATAAGTACTTTTTTTTTATTACCGAAAAGTATCCCAGTCGAACACAAAAGTTAAATTTTTTTTTTTAGCTTAATAAGTACACATATAATATTATAAGTACATTTTAATTAAAATTAATATTTTATTTTAATAAGATATTAATTTTATTAAAATAGTAATTATCAATGAAAATATTATTTTTATAAATTATAAATTATAATAATTATCTTAAATTAAAAATTATTTATCAACGAAAATATTTTTAGGAAATTTTCTTTAATACAAGTATTTTTTGAGATTTTTGCTAGCATTTTGTCTCTCAATTTAACATTTTTCATCTTTATCTTTAATTTTTTTTAATATTTAAAAATAAATATATCAATAAACCTTATATCACAACATAAATTGTTTATCATAAATTTTAAATATAATTTATGTCTTCAACACTACTTACTTATTGAGATTTTTATATGATAAATATAAAATTAAAATAAATAAATTATATACTCATTGATTAACAATATAAAATATGTCATTATTATGTTTTAACTACCTATGAAAAAAAATCACCCTACTAACTGAATATGAAGTCCATCCTCTTTCTCTTAATTTTTAAAAATATATATAAAAAAAAGTTACGGAATGCCTATTTTCACCTCTCTTTTTTATAATCTATATGCCTCTTTTCACCTAACAATATTGCAACACTTTTAATACTATACAATATAAAACAATAAAAGTATCAAGAATTTGTGTAGAAATCATTTGATGATATCATATAAATTTATATAAAAATCAAATTAAAATACATTAAAACCTACACTAGTTTTTATATTTTCAATCAGTTTTATATTTTCATATTACTGAAAATGATTTTAATTTTTATATATTATCGATGTAAAAGTTTTTTTTACATTAACTAACAATTAAAAATTACTTTTAAATTTTTTTATTTATAAGAATTACAATAATAACAATAGAGTTTGAATTTAAGACTTGGTATACAGTATTTTAACTCTCACTACTAAATTGACTCTAATAATATTACTGTTAAATTAATATTGCAAAACTCATTGTAAAACAAATAAATATTACAAAACTTTAGATCTTAATATACATATAATATTTGATGATTAGATAATACATATATATATATATATATAT